ACCCGACCATAGAGGCTGGGTGGGCTGTGGACACAGAACCACAGATCACGGCGGGCAGGGAAGGCTGCCGCCCTCCCCCTCCCTGTCCCTTAGCCATTAGCCTGTTCTATTGATTAATCCTCACAGCTGAGGAGGAGACATTACCCTCTGCTTTTTATAGATAAGGAAACCAAGGATCAGAGGGGTCAGGAAACTTGCCCCAATCACATAGCTAATTGATGTAGGAGCGTTTGACCCGAATCCCAGCTCCCCCTACTCTCTGAGGGGTTTCTGATCTCCCAGGTTGCTCTCAAGATGTTGTTCAACTCTGCCTCTCCTCCTCGGTGCCTGGCTCCCCTCCTTGAAAAGGAACCGTCTCCCACATGTGCGCGATGCCGTGGACACACCCTGTCCCCGGTTTGCTGCCTAGGCAGGACTTCCAGAGTGCTCTGAGTTCTCTCGGGAGCACGACTCAGGTCTGGAGTGGCCAGTTCTGGGGCCAGCTGTGGACACACCCGCTGGCCTCATGGAGTGTGTATGGCCAGTTTCTTCACGTGCCAGATCGAGGAGAACAGGAGAGAGTGCCTTGGAGAGAAACCCTGACTTGGTGGTGTGCTAGTAAATATTTAACAACCAGTTCTCTGGGCAAGGCTGGATAGAGCCCTGATTTGCAGCATTTGCCAATTTCCGTGGTGTGAATACTTCCATCTTGGCCAGGTTCACACTGCCAGTATCAACCAGCTTGCAAAAGTCCAGAAGATTTAACAATCAGTTTTCACAGGCCACAGCAACAGCTGCCCTAGTCCATCCAGCTTCTCCCCTGCCCCTCCTCTTTGGGCTGTGCTGCCAATAACCTCCCCCAAATCTCACCACTGGTCACCTCCACCTCCATCCTCCTGGCCCCAGACCCTGTGGAGAGCTACAGGGCCTTGCCCTTTAAGCCTCAGTTCTTGGCAAACGTGTCTCTGGGTAGAAAAAGAAATCTATCTGGAGATAAATGCTCATTCTCCAAACCTGGAGGAAATGCAGTTTGCTGAACTGGCCCCCAGGAGCTAAATAAATCTGAACCATTGTCCTCCGTGGACCATCTCTGCTGTCTTCTCCCCACCCCTCCCTGAGCTTCAGAACAGCTTCTCAGCTGGGACCCTTCGGGATGCTAGCAAGTGACCGCTTTTGATTTACATTTTTCTTCTGTGCTTTCCTCTGTAACCCAGTGGGGCTTTTCCCCACCTGTCCTCAAGGCCCCGCCTAGATGGGGAGGTGAGAGGAACCAGGCACCTCCCCTCCTTCTCTCTCCAGAAGCTCATTTTCATAGAAATCCCTTGTGGATTCCTTCAGGGACAGAAGGACATTCATGCTGAGTGGGCAGAGCAGAGCTACCAGCCTACCCCGGATTTCCCCCCTCAACTTGCTGTGCAGACATGGCTGTGCCCTGCCTGATGAAAGAAGCACACTCTGGAAATCCCATGTCTCATGATGATAACCATCCCTCCAACCCGGAAGTACTTGAAAGTTTTCAAAGGACTTCTGCACACTATACATCTAATCCGAGCTTTCGCCAACCCTATGTGCTGGGTAGTGATTATTTATGCACCCTCATGGGTTGAGCCTGTCAATGGTGGAAAGAACTTCAGGTGTCACCTAAACCAGCCACCCAGTTAGAGCTTCCATCCCCTGCACAGGGGCCCAGCTGGTCACTCAGCCTCTGCGCCGCCCCTGCCTTGCTGAATACTCACCAACCTCCTGGAGGCAGCCCATTCCAGCCTTGGAGAACTCAGATGCTTGAAAACTTCTTTGGTTGAGCTCAGTTGTGTCTCTGTGTTGTATAGATTGAATGCACCGTTTGTAGTTTGACCCTTTGGGGCAAGCAGAGCAGAAATGATACAATATAATCCTCTGCTCCAGTATTCAAAGGGGGCTCTCCTGTCACTCCATCTCCCCTACCCCCAAATTTTTCTTGTATCTTCCAGATTCAAACATTCATACTACATAGTACAGGATCCTTTCACCAGCCTGATAATTCTCCTGAATGTGCTTTTTTGCACTTGTTTGAAGAATGGGATGGGACAAGAAGCTTCCTGTGAGCTCTGCCTCTGCTAGTGCATCCTCAGCATGAGTTTAGGTTGTTTTTGTTTGATTTTTTGACAGACACATTACACTTTGGACACATTGAACCTGCTGTCAACAAAAACACTGCTGCTAAACCATGTCTCCCCTGTTCCACATTTACATTATTGATTTTTTTTGGCCCAAGTGTTAGAAGTGTTAAATTCCAACTTATTGATGAAAATTAATCCTTTTAGACTTAGCCTGTTGCCAAAATCTGTCAAGATCTTTCATATCCCAGTGTCATGTCTCCTGGGAATTTGCTGAATGCTTCTTGAGACATCCTCTAAATCCCTGATAAAAATATTGAAGAGGAGGGCTACGGAGAAAGCCTGTGGCACTGTCCCAGAGATCTTCCTCAAGCTGACATCTATCCTTAACTCTCATCCGTTGGGTGTAGCTTACAAGTCCACACAATTGTCCACCTGGCCACACCTCTCCATGTTTTCAACAAGGATACATGGGAGGTACCTCGCTGAGTCACTTACACCACCGGTGTACCACATTTTCATGATCAGCCAGCTTAGTAACCATGTTAAACCCAGAAATTGAGCTCCATGATAGCAGGACTTTTCCTTGTGACTCCAGGGCCTAGTGCAGTGCCTAGTACATGGCAGGGACTCGAAAAGTATTTGAAGAAATGGTTGGTTGCACTAGTGAATAAAAGGAACTGGCCCAGATTGATGTGAAGATTCACAGTTATTTCATTTTTTTGGTTCCAGCTTCTTTCTCTATTTTAAAAATTGGAACAACATTTGTGTCTACTTTCTTCCCTATAGCCCCTCTTTAATACTCAAAAATTTAAAAATCACACCAATTTGCTTCCTGATAAGAAAGTATGAGTTTAGGAAAGTTAAGGGATTTTCCCAAGGTCAAAGGATAATAATGGGAGACAGAAGGATTCAAGCAGTTGACTTCTGGTTTCATGGTACCGTGATGCTATGGCTAGCCTCTTACACCCTGCATTTGGGAAAGCTTAGCCAACACTGACAAACATATTTCTTCCTAACAAAAATGATGGGGATACAGTGTAGTAAAGTAGATATATTTCATTTCTAGTCTCATCTCATCACCATCCATCATTCATTCATTCATTCATTCCACAAATATTTATTGAGCATCTACTAGCTAGTGAGTGCCAGGCTATTCTGGGTCCTAGGACTAGAATTGTTCATCAGGCTGCCTTTGAGCTTAAACTTTCTTTGGGAGTGGGAGAGAAAATATCTAAACAAGTAGACATACAGCCATGATAAAGGCTGTGAAATAAAGCAGAGTAAGAGGATAGCAAGGGACAGAGGGGCCCTATTTTACTCTGAAGACATGGCATCTGAGCAGAGATCTAACTGAATAAAATGAGGCTGTGGATGTCCTGCGGATACCCTTACCAGCAGTAACATGCTTGTAGTCATGGAAGTATAATACTTTTTCTTCCAGAAAGCAGGGACCTAGATCATAGGATGAACTTTCCAGTTGTAAAATATCTGCTTTTTTCCAGTTGTATCCATGAATTTATTTACTCATTTATTTTCTCAACAAATACTCAGCATCTACTTAGTGTCAGTTGGCTGCCAGAGATGAAGGGGTGAACAAGGCTTTAGTGCAGGAGACAGACAAACAGATCAAACCCAGTGGTTGATAAGAGCCATCATGGTGACACAGACAGGCCAGTGGAAGAGAACAGTTAAGGCATGTGGAGAAAGTGAACGTTCCTATGGCCAGGATTCTCGCCTGGCCCTGGCTGGCTTGCGCACTACACACGTGCAGGCAGTACATTGCTATTGACTCTATATAAAGAGCTCCGCCCAGTGCTCTGGGCTGCTGCACGGCTGCAGGGCTTCAAGGCTGCAGGAGAGCAGAGGCTGGAGTGGTGGCAGCGCCGAGGACAGAGACTGACATGGCTGTGCAGAGGTAGAGAGGCCCAGAGGCAGAGACTGGCTTGCTGTGTGCAGACTTGCTCTAAGGTGGATGGGATTCTAGGGATTGACCTGACACCATGGGAATAAATTTGGGTATAAACCCTTTCACCCCAAGAATGTTCCACTGTCATTTTTTCAGTCTCACTGAATCTACAGTGAACTTGTCTGGGGCTGAAACCCATTGTCAAGACAACACATGTCACCATTCATGATATTTTAGAGATCCATTTGGCTAAAGAAAATATAAAATTGCTAAATTCTGTAATGGTAGTTATCAAAACATTTAAGCCACTTAATCATTTCTTTAAATGAAATCTTAAGCAGAAAGCCCAATATAGAATCAAAAGGAGTTGCTCTGGTAAGCATAAAATTGGGGGCTTGGGGGTTCCCTCAAAAACATGTAACATAGGATGAAGACCACTGCCCTGAATATTTGTTACAACTCAGAACAGAAATTCATCCATTGTTCATCAAAACCTGCTTATCTTCAAGTGCCCAGGTAAACTAAATTTGGAAAACCATTCAGTTATCAATTAAAACCATAAAAACACTTACCTCTGGCTTGAGTTAAATGGAATAAACCTCTGCTCAAATGTGAACAGATGGAGTTATTTTTCTCCAGCTCTTCAAAGTCATCAGACCCAACATCACTGCCCAGTGCTGCCCAAATGCCTCAGAAGCACAATTTAAAGGGGTCATCATCTTGCTCTTTTCTGCTTCAGGGCAGAGGTCGGCCCCTTAATTGCCATTGAGAAGCATCTCTTAAAGAGTCTTGTGCAACACCTGCTTTTGTGTGGTCCTAAATCCTTCTCTAGAATGTTCTCATTTCAAGAATGCTTTCTTCCTATGGTAACACATATACAAATGGACACTTACACACTCACAGTTCTCTTGCACATACAGTTCTCTTATCCCCACACACACCACAGGCTAGGGTGCACCTCACAATTCCAGTCCTTCCCATACTAACCTGCCGCCTCCCCTTTCTTCTCTCTGCAGATGACGGCAACTGCTCAGGCACCCTCTAAGGCCCAGGCCGTTCACATCCCTGCACCCTCAGCTGCTGCCAGCACACCTGTGCCCAGTGCCCCCATTGACCCCCAGGCCCAGCTGGAGGCTGACAAGCGAGCTGTGTACAGGTAGGACGAAGCCTCTGTGTTTGGAAGTCCCCACCAGCTGTAGGCCCTGCTCAGCAGGAGGATGAGAACACAGGTCCGTGGGTGGGCTGATCAAAGACAATGGCCAACAGCCACTCTCCTTGCCACCTTCCCACTCACATCGATCCAGAGATCCCTCAGCTGACCAGTGGGGGTTGACTCTAGCTTTCCAGAATTGTCTAGTGAGAGACATGAGAGCCTGGGCAGTTTTCTTCCAAAATCCCTTCCTCATCCCAGCTGGGAATGAGCCCTAATGAGCATCTGAAACCTTTGGCTCAGCACCAGGCAGCTGCCCCCAGCCTCTCTCCTTGCCTTCTCTCCATGGTTGCCTTCACTCCGAGACCACCAGAGCACTGGGCCCCTGATTGCACCATCTAGGACTGGGTATTATGCATAGTATGCCTGAGAATCATTGGGAGCGCTTGTTAAAATGCATATTTCTGGGCTCAGTGCTCAGAAATGCTGAATCAGTAGGTCGGGCTCTAGAAAGAGGAATGTGAATTTTTCAAAAGTGTTGCAGGTGAATCTAAGGCAGCTGGTCCTTGGACTACATTGTGAGTCATGGTTGCCTTCACTTTATAGCAACAGGTGTTGTGTGTGGCTGTGTAGGTTCAGGCACCCTCCCCCAGATGGGCAGCTTGCTGAGAGCAGGCAGGTGTCTCATCTTGCACTGCATCTGCCCATGCACCCAGGGTCCTGGATGTGCAGGGGGTGAGGAGGACTCAGGGAAACTCCTAGCTGTCCTGTGCACCTGTTGGGGAGCAGATGCAGTCATCAGAGAGCAGGCCTGAGGGGGGCTCCAGAAGGGATGGGGTTGGGCCCACGCTCACTTCGCCTGTGGGAGCGCACACTCATGTGTATCAGCAGGGAGGCCCACCTCCAACGGGGCAGGGCGTATGTTGCAGCAGATGTTAATGCCAGTAACATGTATAATGGTCCACCCCAGACGAAGGGAAAGAAAATGGAGTCCTTGCGCAGTCCTCCCCAGATGACAGTGCCTTTACAGTGAGGTGGTGATTGTTGCTGCTATTATCGTTATTTTTGGCATTAGTTTTACTAACTCAGGTGAGCTGAATGCCTCTAATGCCAACAGTTGGGAGTCCAGAGCAGCGGGCCCTGATCCACAGATCCAGGTGTGAGGGTCCTTTCCAGCCCTGGCAGAAGATAAATCACAGCTTCTGGGTCCCACCCTGCCCAATGCGCAGGCCAGGCCCAGATGTCTACAGGTAGAGAGCTCTGCTTTGGGCCCCAAAGAAGTCTTGGGTGTCATTACATGACTGTCAGAGACACTGGGTACTCTCGTCTGCCCTCCCTCCTTCCTCCACATGCTTTTATTGAAGCCTCACTATTAATACGTGGAGGCACTGTGCTGGACTTCAGGAGAGAGAGGCTAAAACCATAGGGAAAGGCATGGGCTCCTCCATGTCCCTCCAGGAACAGGTCGATATGCAAACAAGAAAGTAACACAGTTCGGTGGGGGCTTTAACAGAGAAGGCTTCATGGAGGCAGCAATATTTGAGCTTGATCTTAAAGGCCAGTAAGAGAAATGGGTCGAACAGATCCTTCCAGGCAGAGCAGAACCTGATGTGTTCCAAGAATGGCTAGAGGCCCAAGCAGCTGGGTGTGGGAGTTGAAGCTGCTTGGCCTCCTGTGAATTAACCAGTGTGGTGGGCTTGTGCTTTCATGGGAAGCATAAGAGGGAGAGGAGAGCAACATGGTCTCTGGAAACTGCCTCGTGGTCTGATGACTTGGGGATATAGCACTGTGGGGAAAATGGAAGTTCCTGTGGCCAGGATTCTCACCTGACCCTAAACTATTTGATGATATAATTGGTCTACTGCTAGGTTACTGCTTCCACACCCTAGGCAATAAGCTATTTTTGACTGAGTTACTATATAGAGCTCTTCCCAGTGCTCTGGGCAGAGGCAGAGATGGAGATGGATTACAGACCTGCAGACTGCTGGATACAGACATGATTCTAGGGCTCAAGCTGCTGCCAGGAATATAAAGCAGAGTATAAATGCTTTTACCCAAGAAAGTTCCATTGTCATTTCTCAGTCTCACTGACTCCTTAGTGAATCTGCCCAGGGCTGAAACCCTCAGGCAAGACAAGCATCTTACTCCATTTAGATCATCCCTATTCAAAGTATGGTCCATGGGCTAGCAGCATTGCATCACTGGGGGGCTGATTAGAAATGCAAAATCTTGGGCCCCACTCAGACCTAGGGGTTCATGGTCTGCACTTGAACAAGCTCCCAGGTGATTCATATGCACATGAGAGGCAATCCTAGGAGGCTTTCCAGATCCCTGGGCAAGGACCTGGTGTGAGCACAGTCCACAGTCTAGAAAGATCCCCAGATTCGTGTGTAGAAAGAGTTTCTGGAAACCTAGGCTTGAGTTCCCTCTCCTCCATGTACTAGTCTCCCTGAGCTTTCCTTTCATGGTAGAACCTAATCAGCAGGCTTGATAAGAATTAATGAGATGGTGCATTTAAGCTCCTGGCACTGTGTCTGGCACAAAGCAGATGGATTACCTTGTTCCTACAAATAGGCTCCATGGGCACTGAACCCTTTCCAAGATCCCAGGTTCATTCCCCACCCAGGCCAAACTGCAGGGGAGTGGGGGTCACCTCCTCTGCGGAAACTGTGCACCAGGATGTCACTTCTAGTATGAAGGCCCAGATCTTCCTTCAACTAACCCTTCTTCCTGACATCTTCACACCTGAGCTTTACCTGCTCCCACCCAGCTGACCACCCCACAGTCCTTTGTGTTTGCCTAAATTACTTCTGCAGCCATCTGACCAAGAAAGAATCGCAGGTTGGACGCCACCACCTGCCCAGCCAAAGCTGGCTGCTGGCATCTCAGGGCCCCCAAGCTGACATCAGCACCTTTGCATCTTCTTTTCTCTTCAGTCCTTCCTGCCCCTGGGGCCCCAGGTTGTCCTCCACAACGATGCCTCTCCCATTAATGCCAGCAGCCCTCTCTATAGCCCTTGCAGGATGACCAGGAAGGGGGCTCAGCCTCCTGTAGGGTCGGGCAATTTTAATTAGATTTGCCTGCCTCCAGCAGCCCGCCTGGCTGCTCCAGAGCGCATCAGGGAGTCGGCACTTCATGTCAATAAATGTAACAAGACCCTTTCGATTCAGATTCAGATTAGTGCCCCCGCACTGATTTTTGGGATCCCCACCGAGGCCCTGCCCTGAACCTCAGATGAAAGATGGGTATGGGAGGCCTCTAAAGGGTAGCCAAGGGGCAGTATGACAAAAGGGACAGTGGCGGGCTGTGCCAGTGAGTGGAGGAAGCCTGTCCATGACCCTGAGGTTGTATTTGTGTATGAGGATGTGTTAATGAAATGTGTTGGTTCATTCTGATGTGGAAACTGTGTGTGTGTGTGCGCGCGCACGCGTGTGTTAGCAAGGGGAGAGGGGAGGCCAAGTCTGTCTTTAATTGGATCATACCAGAGCATCATCTGGGCTAATCAGCAAGACAACCAGGAGCTCCCGCTCAGATTAATGATTGCAGTCTAATCCGAGCAGATCCCATGATTGGATGCACATCGTGGGTAATTGTGTTTGTGGCCCAGGAGCAATTCAGACAGGGGGTCTAGGGAGGCAGGGCCTGCAGGGCTGGACCCAACTCCATTCTCTCCTTCCCCAGCCCCCTCATCAATCCTGGACATTTTCCCCCCGAGAAGGGGAAAATCAGCATGGACCACACCAGCCCCCCTGTCCATGCTGGAGCCCCCCATCCATGCTGGTGGACAGCACTGGGTCCTGTTTGGGACCTGGTCACTTAAGTAGCCAGCAGTGCAAAGACAGGGCCCAGAGCTGAGGTTAATCCAGTTTCTGCTCTCCCCGCTCCCCTCTGGTTGTTCCCCTTTGAAGTGAGTGGGTTCCCATGGAAACCAGGATGTCCTGGGGAACAGAGAGTGGCAGGGAGGTAGGCCTGGCCAGGTACGAATGGGGGAGGAGGTAGGCTTTGCTGAGACGACTATGCTGAGTTGGTTGTCGCCGTGGCCCCTGAGGCTGAACACCTCTCTGAGATTGGGGAAGTGCCCCCCCCCCCCCCCGTGCTGAAGAAGTCACCTTTATTGGCCGGAGGTGGCTGGAGGCAGGAGCAGTGAGAGAACAGAGGCACTGGCACTGTTCAATCTGCCTGTAAAACAGCTGGAGAATGGAGCTGGGATCAGGTGGGGAGGGGGCACGGCTGCTGCCTGTATTTCTCCTTTGGGGAAGTACTCACAATTGAACTGATTGTGTTAACGTTATTTCTGTTTTCCCCGCTAGATCGTAAACTCCATGAGGGCAGGGTCGCATCTGCTCTGTTCACTGACTCATCCCACTCGCCTGACACAAGCCTTAGAGTTTCCGCAGCTCGGGCCAAGTACATACTAAATCAGTGCTTGTCGAGTGGATTCATTAAATAGGTTAGGCAGTTCCCATAAATGTACCGTGGTTCTAGGCTGGTGTGCTGGCAAACTGGCTCTCAGGGCTGAGCAGAGTGGGGGAGCCCGGATTTGTAGCATTTGATTTTCACAGTGTAAATGCTTCAACTATGGCCCATTTCAAGCTGCCAGGGTGGTACCACTGAACAGAGTTGAGAAGAGGCGCACGCAGTCGGCTCTCACCAGCGCAAAGCACAAACCCCACACAGGCAGGCAGGTCATGGGTCCACAGTCTGTTTTTAACCACATCATCCCATCTTAGAACCAATTCTTTGGAATGGTTTCCCACATACCTTTAGCCATGATCCTACATTCCTTGGTGCTCACTGGCCTGTCTGGTCTTCTCCTGGGCTCTAAGTTCATGAAGTTCTCTCCTAATTAATTAATACTTGGAACAGTGCCTGGCACAGAGCAAGTGCTTTATAAGTGTTTGCAGTTGTGGTTTTTCACCTTAGTGAATTTTCCCCTTTCTAGATTCCACCCATCACTGTGTCTCTTTGCATCCGATGAGCAAAGCCTCACCCTCACCGCACCTTCC